CTTTTTAGTGTAGACAGTAGTAGCAAAGTAAGAATTCTAACGTATTAGGCTTGTCGAATCAAACAAAACAAGCCAAACTCAAAGTATCTATTAGCCGTTGAAGAGTTCCACCTATCCACCTTCTGGCCTTACCATCAGATCAGGTCAACTATACCGAACCACTGTACTATCAACGGAAATAGAAACACTTGCAAAGTTTCAAGTCAATATGACAATTAGAAGTAGGTTAAATTCATCATTAGCTATTTTTCCACCCTTAGGGGTGGTATTTTTTTTGAAATTTAAATGGGACCAATCTGGAAGTATACACTTTCAAACAACTTTATTTTCGTTTTGCCATTATGTCCGAGTATATTGGCTCATATGCAAGTGTTATATAATGAAGTATGTGACATGGACACGTAAAAAGCGATAAGAACTTGAAGGTCACGAAAATCGATATTTTTTGTAAATATCTTGATTTCTTTGTCCAAAATTAAGACTCAAATAAATAAACGATATTTTACATGATTAACCGATTTTGAGGTAGACCGCACAAAGTGGGAAGCGCTTAAACAACTCACAAATATTTAGGCCCTGGCGAATCAAAGAGAAAAAAATTCCTTATAGCGTAGTAGATATAATAAACGGACAATTTATCACAAAATAATATTTTATATTTCAATTGTGTATTGGTAAAGTTTATCTTAAGTATAAAAATAGATTATACCTAAAATACTATACTATACTTATAGTATGTACTTGTATATGAGAAATCTAACTAATATCAATAATAATTAATTTTTCTTCTAAGTCGTTACACTCTTGACAGAGTGGTCGTGGTCGTCACTTGAGCGCTGTGGCACGCTTGAATACTCGTCGCCACTCCTCTCTAATAATAATAATTAATACCATATATAATAATGTTATGTCTAAGAAACAACTATATTATAAATTCTTTAAAATATGAGTTATATGAAATTAATAGTTTATACAATAACAATATAGAAATACATTCCATGATCCATCACACTCACTGTGAGCATAAAAGCTAGTTATGTTAGTGACTCATATAGCTTAGCCTTAGCTTATTATAGCTTTATTCTAGATGCTGAATAAATAAAGTAAAAAAAGCATTAAAACAATTTACCTTACAATTGATAACGTTATAAATAAATAGTTTGTTTTTACTAATATTTGCTTAGATGCAAGATTAGGTACAACGTGTTAGATTCAGTAAAATGACAAACGCTCGTAAAAGTAAAATAAAGCCACAAGAATTTCTTTGTTTGAAAAGTTCAGGGAAGAGTAGCGAAAATCTAGTAATAGGTTACGATAAATTCATCTACAAAATACCTTATAAAAAGTGAAAACAAGTAGAATTAAGCTTAATTTTATTAGAAGTGTAGGCGCATAGTTTCTAGATAAGCGGATATAAGCACTCGTAGCACTCCTACGGTAATTCTAAGATTTAAATCGTGTATTAGAGATTAATGTACATATAAGAGTATTACAGATCGCCTGCAGAAACGAAAAGTGAAATATCCTGCAAGGCTTAGTTATTTCTTATATAACTCTAAGAAACCTTATTTTAATCGAGTAACATTGTACAAAGGTAATTTTAGCCTGTAGGGCTTAAAGAATTTTTCTTATTATTGTGTGGTAGTTAAAATTTTTTGGTCTTATCAATGTTTCACGGCAGAAATACTCGTATTTACAATTAGTGCTATTTCTTAAGTGCAAGCTATAAATTTTAAAATTAACATAATTTAATTTTTCTGCCCTTTCATCAGCCTTGGCTCAGTGGAATGCGTTTATATAATATAATTATATATATATAGTACCTATATTGAATAGGTATGTACGTAGTACACAGGTCACACTATTGATAAATAGTTATGTAAAGACTGCTATTTTTCTGAAAATGTGTAACGGACAGTAATGGCAGTCGAGATTATTCTTAAGTATAATCCTACAGAGTGAACCATAAAAAATTTTTTCAACTTCGGCTTAACATTAGTTAACTTTTGCAAAAGCTCACTTAGATAAATCGTTGAAAAATAATGGAACTCGTCTTTTAAAGTTAAGCATTATGCTGCTATTCAGCCAGAGTTACCGTTACGCTCCTGGTACTTTCGTTACAAACTGGCGGAATTTGGTTTATAATTTATATCTACTATTTGTGCCTACGTCTTGGACATACGAGTTCCTACTCCTGTCCACTTGGCTAAGCTGTGTTCCTGAGAGTGAAACTGCAAATATCATCAAGATTATGTACTTATCTTCCATGTCCCGTCCGTTTGTTCCACGATGTTATCTAGAATTGATATTGTAACAATATTTGTTTTTTTGTAATTGTAAGATACGAAGTCTGTTCAAGAGGTGTTATTCTTACCATAACCCCTATCGATTAGTTAGATAAAATAGTGACGTTGTACTTGTTGTATTACCTATTATATTTTACGTATTGTTTTCGTATGTAATGGGTTATCTGGTCCTGATTTTACAACGAATTGGTCCGTTTCTACGTATAGTCAGATCTAGTGATTTTATTTTCTCTCTTTTACCGGTCATTCTAAATATATCGTGTCTTCTCCATTGTACACAACATTAGCAAAGTAAATTGTGCCAACACAGTACTCCAAGAAGCCACTAAACAAACAAATTGAATTGAATTAAATAATCGTATAATAATCGACTTCAAAAGGGGAAAAGGTTGTCTAATATCTTGAAGACGGCTTGGGCAATCTGGCTAAAATTATATAAATTTTTCATGACATGAAACTATTTTTAATAGTATTAATATATATGTATACTATTACAAAACTACAATTGTAAATTTATAAATGTTTTATAGAGTTTGTTTCATTATAATAATTGGCTTTAAAGAAACTTAAATTGTGTTTTAACCGCCACCGCCAGTTAACGTTAAGCAAAGTTAAACAAAACAGAACCATTAGATAGATAGATAGTTCATTATTAATAATAATTAATTTTAATAAATTATTGTAAAAAAAGTCCCTTTCAGATTTTCTTCCTTATTGATGTTACAAATGCAAAAATGTACTTATTTGTAAGTTTGCCCTTCTTGTACACAGCATCAGAGTGATGGCTAGAAATAGAAAGAACAGCTATTCTAAGGTATTCTAAATATATGTAGGTCTCCGACTGCATAATGCTATGATCCTTTGTTCTGATTTTTTTAGGTCACTTTTTACACAGTCGGGTTTTTATTTTTGTAAATACTTTTTTTATTTATAGGTTTTTAGTTTTGGTCAATTACCTACATATTTTTAGTTTTATTTAACAATTTTTTATTCTAAATTACTTTTAAACATATATATGTCGTATATATTTTCGAAGATAGTTTGAGACCCTGGGAAGGACATAGGATACGTTTTATCCCGGAAATCATCCCTTAAAGCTGTGAAAATGGGGATGAAAGTTTGTATGGGGAATCAACCGTCTTAAAATATAAGTTTATAGTGACACCAACTGAAACATACATATACCTAAACACACAATACAGTGCATGTGATAATTTATATTTCATGTAATAAAATTGTAAAACGGTAATAAATTTAAAAACAAAGAAATCGGCGTTCTATATGGCATGCAATCAAAAGTAATTTATTTTAATATCTTTATAACATACTGAATAGTTTTATGATTAAAATTTCTGTTTTCATTTACAGTTCTTGAAATTAAATTTTAATCAGTTTTGATAGAGGAACAATAGGCTATTCTACTATGCTCAGTAGACGTAGATAACATTATCTAAGATGCAATGCATACCCTTACTTATTATTACTTTTATTGATTGATTACAGTTAAAAACAGTTCTTTTTCACTAATTTTAATTAAATTAATGTAATAATGTATAAATGTTACATTTTCAAGAAAAATATTGGATTATGACAGATAAATCTTAATATTAAAAAAAAAAATTGAACAGAATCTCTTTATGATGATTAAAAATTTCCTTATCAATTTAAGAGTTCAGCACACTAAAACAGTCAAAATAATTAGCTAGTGTGGCAATACGGCTATTTAATAATTATAGCTTCCGTCCTTTATTTACGTAATGACCTTGCACAGACGATAGTGTTGAGTAAAAAATTTACATTAATAAAGTAAAAAATGGAGTATGCTTGAGTTTTCAAATATCGCTTATGTAGTATTGTCATTGAATAGATTTTACATTTTTTTTATATTTTCTCACTTATAATAATATCTCTTGGTGGTCATCCTGATAGCCATTCATGTTAACAAAAGGCTTCTATTCTACTCGTAAATTTTGACGTTGAAAAATCCTAACTTAAAAGAGAAATTTCAAATTATTGATTTTACAAATTGCGTTTATTAAAAGAAAGTTATAATCAACAGGGTGGCAAGTATTTCATCTGTGCCTATTACGTATACGGTCGTATGTTCGATCAGATGTTTGTCCCAGATAAATTGGTACATAGCTTTAGGGTTAGCAATTGCGATAAATTAGCCAAATAGTAAAAATACATGTTGAATTTTTAATCCTGTTTATATCTCCCGCAAAGAAATAACTAATTAACAAAAGCAATATTATTCCAATATTATCTAAAATTGTGCTTATTCCATTTGATATAAATCATGAGAATCCGAAATATCATTTGGGGAAAACAAATTTCGAGGAATATAGTATTTTTTTATTTATATATCCATACGACCATGTATGTGTATACCACACATGACTGTTAATATTATTCCATCCAATAAGCAAGAAGAGTATTCATGATTATTTATTCTACAATTTACCACTTTATCACTAGCCTGGCGAAACAGGACGGGATGTCATTCTCAGTTTGAACATTGCCCGCTCCGGTCGTGTTAAAATAAAATAAGACGTTATTAATGGTGTCATTAGCCATTACTATATAATCAGCTAATAATAGTTTCGTAGCACAATAACGTAGCGGTCGTCTACGAGGTGCGTGCGCGTGAGCAGTGCGTCTTGTTTTGTGTTCGATTTAAATAACATTTTGAAAATGTCCAAGAACACCCAAAGTAAGTTTGTATATTTTTAAATATATAAATCTAGAAATAACACAAGTTTAAATAATAAATTATTCATTTTTGTATTAAATATTTATATATTATGAAGAATTGTCAAAATTTGATTAACTAAAACATGTATAAGTAATGTGTAAATGACTAACATTTCTTTGTAAGCAAGTATATCAAATATATAAATATCAAGTATATCAATATCAAAAATAATTATGTACACAATTATAAGGTGACTTGCTTAATAGCAACTCAGGAAGAACTCTCAATAATTATAATTAATAAGGAAAATAATAACATTTATTAAAAATTTAATGAGTGTAATAAATAGGCATGTTATCACTCTAGATTATGTATAATAATATATTGTGTTAGTCCTTCTATTAATCTTAGATATAAAAATATTAACTGTTCATTACACTGGTTATGTTGCATTTTTTTATTTTAACATATTGTGCAAGCATCTGTATTTACATGATAGATACGATCTGTATTTACATGAAATAAACAAATTAACTCACACACACTATGATAGCAGCAAAACTTGGCCAGATATAATGATGATGATGATATAGAAAATATTTTTATTTTTGTATGAAACTGAAAATTTAAGAAATATTTTTTTTCTTGTTACAGAGGTTGTTGTTATGATGTTTTAACTGTATCTTTGCTAGTTTACGCGGCGTTCGCGTGGAAAGTTCCCATTTGGCGAGATTTTAACAGACAGACAGACATACAGACAGACAGACAAAAATTCAAAAAACTATAGATTCGGCCTCTGTATCGATAATATAGGAGATAATAATATCGATAGCACATTCAACATCACTACAGTCTAAAATATGCCCCTGCCCCCGACCCGTATGGTGCGATAGAGAGAGTTGCAAGTCTTAGACTCAATTACCTACATTTCCTTTTTGAAATATTGTTTCGGGCGATAACGTTTTCACCCCCATTAACGAAATGAGACGATTTTGGTCTCATTAGATTCAGTACACCTTAATCTAGGTCTGTACGTTTAAAAACGCTGGAGGAAGTTTTTAGGTCAAAAATATAGATATTTAGATGCTAATAACTTCTGTCGTAAGCAATATTTCAAAAAAATAAAAACGTACGGACCTAGATTTTGATTATATCTACAACATTTCCAAAAATTATGAAAATTAGACTATGTTTAAGGGGGGAAAAACGTTATCACTTTTTGTATGAAAATTTACAGGTTCACAATCCTCTTAATAAAAAATCCCATAAAATTATTTTTATTAATTATATTTTTCCGTAGGTAAGATATTCAAACCTTTATTTTATCTACATATATCTATTAAAATAATAAATCATCGCTTGATGATCAATTTATCATTAAATAGGTCATTATCTATAGGTACATATAAATTTTTCTCAATGGTTTTTTTACCTTCGTAAAACTTTATCAAAATAAATAATTCATTAATATTAATATAATATATAAATAATAATTAAATAATAAATAATGACGAAAAATAACCAAATAGTTTAAAAGTAATGTTTTTGTTAAAAACTATTTAACTGACTTGCATGGCAGCTACATACATTCTTTTATATATTTTTCAATTGTATACCTTTTTTTATTATTTATTTATTGATTTATTCGTTATTTGTTATTATTTCGTATCTATTATTTATACTTTCATAATAGGTATATAGGTACTACTTATTTCTCAAATATGTTTTTTTATTTGTGCGTGATATCTTCTTCTTCTTATAATGAGACTATCGGTTTTCTATCGGTTAAGATTTATCGGTTTTCTTCAAAATAAAATATTTTTCAGTGATAAAAACTTGTATTTACTAATTATCACATTATTATATTACAATTCGGAGACTGATCACAATACTGTGCGAAAAAATCACACGAGATTAAATTAACGGAGACAATTATATAATAAATTTGAAATATGTATGTCAATTTGCACTGACATCTATTTAGTTGGTTTCGAGGAGTCACAGAAACAACAATTTTAAAAATAATGCTTTGGCTGTCGCCAAAATACCTAATCAAAATTAAATAGTAATTCACAGTTTAATGTAAAAATAATTTAAAAACGTATTCGATATTACTGTCTTATCATCACCTTGGCTTCGACCCTTACTGGAATACTCCGGTATTTTTTATAACGATTTGTATGTAAATATTTTTTATTTTTAGTCTTGCGTCAACTCTTTCTTGTCTAGATAAATATAGACTGTCCCAAAAATACGCCAGTAAGACTCTCGTAGAAATTGGTTAAGATGTTTGTCTTGTCAAAAATTAACAGGTACAAACAGACCGACAAATTAGTAGTTGTGTGGGATTTGCCATGATTCAAGTAACCGTACAACTAAAATACATCCATAAAAATACATAAAATACATATAAATATAGATATGTGTATGTATGTATTCAGCCCTTTTTAACGTCCCACTGCTGGGCACGAGCCTCCCTTCAATACGAGAGGGATCAGGCCATAGTCCACCACGCTGGCCAAGTGCGGGTTGGCGGACTTCACATATCTTTCGAAAACTTGTTAAGTTTCCTCAGACATGCAAGTTTCCTCACTATGTTTTTCTTCAACGTAAGGCAAGTGGTAATCATGTTAGAAATGATTTGCACATGAAAATATCAGAGGTGCGAGACCCGGGATTTGAACCCGCACCACTCAGTTTCCCCAGCGAGCGCATCACCACTGGGCTACCACTGCATAAATATAGATATAGGTACATAATAATAAGAAAGGCCAATAAATTGAAAAAAATACCATTACGATTATATAAATTAAAGCCATAAAAAATCAATATATAAAGTCGGTGGTATCTAACACAAACTTTATGATCAAACAAGATATTATCATAATATAAACGTTATACCGGAGAATTTACAGTTTCGAGAGTCATGCTCATTACAAAATAATTGTTCAGCTTTAAATGAGAAAAGATTAGGATTAGATACATTATAATGCGTTGCTAATAAATATAGCTATTACATTTAGACATGTCTTTGGCTGTTTTTTTTGTGTATCTCCATTTTCTTGCCGAGGCTTTATACTCTATAGTGTATACAATACGATATATACAGTGAGTTCAAGCGGATTGCTTAGATGATAGTCTTGCGAGATGCGATTAAATTAAACTCGGATTTTAATGTGAAAATGTTTATTGTGAAAAAAATCTCATTTCGGAGAAAAAATACAAAAACTGCAATGTAAGAATATACTAATATGTAAAACCTAAGAATTTGGTTTTTGGTTATCTGAACGCGGGCGGAGCCGCGGGCAATGCTAGTAATTATATATTTTTGATCTTAATATCATGTTCTTTAGACAATTATAAATATTATAATCTGTATATAATTACTTGACACTTATAAATTGTAATAAATGATTATCGATATGATAATTAGATTTTAATTATATATTTTTCGTTTTACGAGTCAAATCAATCTTACATTTGTTGCAATGATAGAAATAAAAAAAGTATTTGAAGAATTTAAAAACATTTTCACGCATCACTATAGTACGTAATGGCGCTAAAACATCAGTGGAATGTTTAAGTGAAGCCAAATAGGTGCATTGCTCTCATACATTTTATTATGCAATATTCACACAATTTTATTAATTTAATTTAATTACATATATATTATTTCGAATTTTATATACTTATTTCGAAATTATAAAAAGTAAGTAAATATTAAAACCCTGCGTACATTTAACCTTTTCGGATTATACATGCCGTCTGGAAGTACCCATCGTATTTTATTATTATTTAATGAATTCATTAGTTTATATTTAACTATATTCCTAAAATATATTTATATAATTAGTTTATAATATAATTGATAATTTATTTGTCCTCCTATACTGAACTATATTATTTTCCTTAAAGGCAATTAAAAGTCTCAATGCAGTATGCACATAATATACAAATAACATTTTATTTAAGTGCTTACGTAATACGTAATCATAATAATAAAAAACCATCCAAGTACGTGGGTTCCGTTGTTGCCCATCACAAAATTCATACTATGAAGATTTAACGTTAACGGTTTCGGCGGCTCATAGTAACAACTAACAAGTACCTACATTTTACCTATAAGATGATCGAATATTATTCGTAAAATTGTAAAGTCTACTTAGTTGTGATAATTTTCCTTTTAATTTCGTTATATATATTACTATTGTGAATTATTTCACATATCCAAAAACAAATTTGTAGCTGGCAGCGGGAGGAAATAAAAATTAGCACTTTAAAGCTTAATATTTCACAGACGGATCCCTTAATCGAAAAATTGTTTTCATAAACCAGCAATATTTTTGAAATACCTATCCAACGTTACCCCACACTATGGGGTAGACAAGAAAAAAACACCCCCACTTTACGTGTAGAGGAGGTACTACTTTTTTTTCAAGATTGTATTTTACCACCTGTCGGCATGTCTAATATGTATATCCATGTCAAATTACAGCTCTGTACTAAAAGTCTCTAAAAGCTAAGCTGAGGTCAGACGGACGGACGGACGTACATGGCGAAACTATAAGAATTCCTTGTTGACTATGGAACCCTAAAAAATATGTTTTTTTTTAAATTATTATCTATAGTGTAGAACTAGCGCTAAGCCAACGAACAACCACTCTAAATGTTAATACCACGTAGTATTTATAGGAACGATAAAAGTTCATACGTCTGCATAGAGGCGTAAGTAATCCAAATTTTTTATTTGATAACAACCTTGAATATAATGGATTTGATTTCAGGGGTCAATTATTTTAATCCCTACATATCTCGTATTACATAATACGATTGTTTATTGGTATGTTGATTTAAGGCAATGGTAGCCCAGTCCGCTCCCGCGCTCGTTTTGGAAACCGGGTGAAGCAGGTTCAAATCCCGGGTCTGGTGGACTATGGCCTGATTCCTCTCGTTCTGAAGGGAGGCCCGGCAGTGGGACGCTAAAAAGGGCTGAATACTTGCTGATTTAGGTATATAGATGGTCTTTCACGAAGCAACGGATCGGCATGATTTTTGCAAAAGTATAGTGCAGTTCCATTTTTATTCCCTTATAACACTAATCTATTCAAAAAGTACAAAAAGTTTTTAAGAAAAATATACACGGGACCGGAAAAATAACCATTTCATTGTCTTAGAAGAACGCTGAATCTGTCACAAATAAAGGAAATTCGTAAAGGGCACAAAGTAGAGCAAATTGCCTTATTTGTTACTCACTATCTCAATTCTAAAACGTTGTTTTGTTTTGATAACGTGACAAAGGTGTAGGAGAATATTAAATAGGTACTATTTATATTAATAGCTATAATTTTGATTCTTTATTATATTTAGATAGTGAAAGCAATCTGATTGTTACTTATAATAAAACGTATTTATAACGTAGATAAAAATTAAATTGCTTTTGAGGAATAAAGAAATCATTATTAAAATATTTTATGTAGGTAATAAAACTAAATTACTCATTGATTGTTTTATCAAAATAGTATTTTCTAGAAGCTTCGCAACGATCGTGGTAAATATACGCAAATATATAATTAAAATGTAAATGTATTGAATGTAATTGTAAATAATGCATGATATGAATAACGTATATAGGCTCATCTGTATTCCGATTAAATCCGGGTGATTTGTCCAAACTATGCACGTTGTTACCGGATAACACGCGTACAACGTAATAAAACGTTTTTTTTTAAATAATGTTTGAGTTCTACGTTTTTGATCCAACAAAATAAAGCTTAATAAGAAAAATAAAATAAAACCTTTTAGGATTTGTCTACTAAATAAACTTTACGATTACTGTAAAAATTATATATTCATTCATATATATATATATATGTATATATATATTTATACTTTTTGGTCAAGTGTATGCGGCTCGATCGAAATCTAACGAGCCCAAACTTTAAGATTTTACTAGTAGCCATTAAAGAGTCCCACTGTCACCCCTGATTCCATCAATAGTTCAGCTCCATGTTATAACAAGTTTATTTATTATTCGTTAATTATATTGCCATCGGTACAAACAAAAACATTCAAATCGATTTGATTGAGACGCAACTTAAAATTGACTTCTAAGATTTCCTTTCATTTACATACTCATAATTACAAGTGAAACTAATAAAAACTTGTTGATAATAATTGTTTTTGTCTTTCAATATCCGCAACAAAACAAATCAAAACAACATTTTTATTTATGTATTTTTATTATAATCATGACCTGGTTGAAAAGAGGAGTCGATTGAAAGAATGGATATTTTATTTAAATGATCGTCCACTAGTAAGGAAGCTGCGATTACACAACGTGAATTGTTATTGAAATTAACAATAATATTATATTTAGGGAAATTTCCCCTATATGGGGTTATTATAGAATATAATCATTTAACTTTGCAGTTTAATAAGATATCATTATTTTTAGCCATGTCTTCAGAAGAGATAGTTAAGATAGGTTTATGTAACTCGAGTAAGTATTTACATGACATATAGAAGACAAAATAAAAATATTATATAACATGGGGATAGTAATAATTTTATTTATAATTTAATTAATAGACAAGTTGTGAATGTGGTTGCAGATGTAGAGAGCGGCAATGCCAACCCGGAACCTCAAGTCGAGGCGCAAGCTACGAAGGCTTCTCGCCTGCCTCTTGGTAAGGCTGCATGTCGGGAATGTGATGTTCTTATATATTTGCATTTTATATATATTTTTATGGCATATTCACAAAAAAATCGTCTATATTTTGGGGCAATGTATGTATATACTTCATTTATCATTTCTTGCGAAATCTTTTGAATGCAAGCCTTAATTATACTTGAAGTGATTGTGTATTAAAATGTCAATGCATGTCTCTGAATCATTGTGACGTTTACGGCACGGCACATATGAAATGATGTCGTTGCAAGTTTTCATTAGTATTTCAGTAATTTAGTTAGTTTAGAGCAATAATAAATTATGCAATTTGCACAATCATATATAACAGAAGTAAATCTGTTACAAAATAAACTCATAGAATTAGTACTGCAACTAATTATATTTAATTCAAAAATAATTTGCACAATTGCACGTATGCATAATATCTATTACATAAATCTTTCTATGATCGACATTTTCACGAGTGAAATATACTCTATTTTATCATTGCACTGTAATCTATTTCTCATTCTAAATCCACATCGTCTCAAGACTAAAAGCTTCACAATAAATCTTGCAGATTTTGCCAACGTGCGATCAATTATTGAACGTCTTTGTACGTTTTACAAATAGAAGTATTTACATCGAATTATAATAATGTGTCACGAATTATTCAATTATGTATGTATGTATGTATTGGGTTAGAACCAAGGTCTAGTAGGAAATCTTGTTTATTTTATGGATATCTTTTACCCCTAATAAAATATTTAAATGTAAACCCAAAGAAAATTATCATTTATACTTGCGACTCATCCTCGCTCCGCACAGGTTCGTTCCTACGTTACGTTTTGACGTTTAATATAGATTTCTCAGAAATGACTACTTTTTCCGTAGTAAAATGTATTATTTATAGTATATATTGTTGTTGTTACAAAAAAAGGTGGTAATAATATAATTTATAATATTATATATAATTATTAAGATCCATACACACACACACACACACACACACACATATATATATATATATATATATGTATATATATTTATATATATATATATATATATATATATATAACCGCTGAAACGTATCTAGGGCAACAAACAACCCGAGCGCAGCGAGGGTTAATCGTTAGTTATTAATAAAAGGAAAAACGTAAAAAGGATTGTGTGAAGAAAAATTTTATGTTAAAATATTTTTATTAGCATGAACATTAATAAAAATAATCTAATAATATATACAAAAACACTAATAGAGATCTATTAGTTCCCACGGGAACCGTTCATTTTTCCGGGATGAAAAGTAACCTGTTGATTGACCAGCAATATAAGATATCAGCATGCCAAATTTTACTCAATTAGGTGCATAAGTTGTTGTGTACTAAGCTGTATAAGTGACTATAGTTTTTTAACTATCCCACGGGAACTCTTTAATTTTCCAGAATGAAAAGTATATTACATGTTTACCGTGGATATGAGATACAACCATGCAAAATTTCATTTAAATCGGTTCAATAGTTTCGGAGTTGAGCCCGTACAAACAGACAAACAGACAGAGAAACAAAAAAATTGAAAAAATCTGGATTTGTTCTATTTTTCTTCTTACATCCCCCTGACTCGGTTTTTAGCATTTTTTTGCTAAGTACAGACATTCGACCTCTACTGTTTTATATTATATATTGTTGTTGATTATTATGATTCCAATTATTGTATAGATTATTATGATTCCAAGATATGACGACGAAATTTATCATTTCGATACAATTTGTAAAATGTCTTCTTTTCAACGTTTGTAGAATCAGCCCCTTCTATCTTGTCTAAGCCCTCTTATTCCTCGGAAAGAGTGGGGGAAAGAGGTAAAACATGGTGTGAATCGACACGTTATCAAAGTGCAATCAAAAGTACCCAGAAATTAGAAGGAAATAAATCTCACGTCGAGACATTGTTTTTGTGATCTAAGTAAATTACGTATAATTATTAAGTTACAATACAAAACAGTGGAAATCCCGGAGTTCTAACCACTTTAATTATAATTTTAATACGTATTTATGTTTTTGTATTTATTTTAGTTGTCTCGGTCGAGTTCTTCGGTTGGGTTCTGAAATGTTACCTTCAATACATGTATTTTATCATCGTTTGCATATAACATCTTTAATAAACTGAACTGAATTAGTAAAATAATTTACTAAAAATATAAAAATCAAAATTATCTTAAATATTAAACACAAGAGATATTTATAATGTTTCGATAATCGTTATGACTAATTAAAATTTTATTCTAATTTCTAAACCTAAATTTAAAATTAGTATTCATAATCATTCCCTTCGTTGTATTATCTTGTTTTAAATATATAATACTTATTAGATATTATATGTACATACTATATGTAATATGAGTGGTCCTAAGGCTCTGTTTTGTCGGATGTATCATGTACCTATTGGAAAAGTACCAGAAACTAAAGTGAACTGGGAAGTGTGGGAAGCATTGAGCTTGAGTACCCTTATATAACGATTAGAAGAAATATCGTTATAAAACAACAGCAATGTCCTCTTCATGCTCTAACCATATATTATTAGGAACCAACGTAAACGTTTATTTCAATGCATTGAATGGTTTTAAAGTATCGCTTATCTGAATTGGTATTAATCTGTTTAGTTTTAGTTATGACGAAAATAGCCGGCTATTTCGGTTCGGCGTAATCAGTCAAATTGTCTTGTTAGGTCATGTCTCTCCAAATAGAGGAAGCACTGGACAGCAAACCTACGCAAGTTCAAAACAATTTTAACCAATTGTAAGTTACTTGTGTATTAGATGTACTAGATGATGTGAGGTTGGCATCATCGCGAACTTTTTAGAATTCTTTTATTTGAAGCTATTATCGGCAACATAACTCGTGATTAATTAATATTAGAACAGAACTGAGAGATCTCTGTTTTGTTTTTTGATAGTAATAATACAAAAAAAAAACAATTTGGCAATAGATAGGTATATGTACTTGGTTATAACAGATACTACATCTATTATCTAGATATAGCTATATTATAGTATAAATTTCTAGTACTGTAATAAAAATATACTAATATAGAAGGTATTTCATATTAAATAAACATCAAGTACCTATTAGAATACTATTTATTTATTTTAAATATCACATAATAAAAGTAGTAAAATAATCGTGACTGATTTAAGGATGTTATCTGTAGTTTATTGCTTAATTTAATTCATTTGATTATATATTCTGTGTTGAAACTTAAAAAAGCAAGCAATAATCACAATGACTTACATAATATTGTAATACCATGACGTAATAGAATACTATAAGTCAATAACCTTACAGATCAATTTATTTGGATCATTCACATAATGATGGGTTTAGTTGTAAAAGTATTCACGAGTCGTGCTGCAAAAACCATGCCAATGTCCTTTTGTGGGACGATTCAATCCCATTGAAAGCTTTTCGAGAAATACTTTAGTGTTTCTATTTATTGCTGTCGAGAACCTTCTGAGATCGGTATGTTAGTTAAATCTGTAAGTGATGCAGATACTTGATGGCAATTCATCTTCAATTCAAATCTTGAAGCTCACGGCATATTATAAAGCGTTAAGAAAAGTACTATTGGAATAACGTTTTAAGCTTTGAATTTATATGCCCGATTATATATAATACTTATATTACATGTTATGTACACTTATAAAAAAACAAACGGACATTTTAAATAGAAATTGCGGAAATCGAAGTTGTAAATATAATTAAAAACATTAAAGGCACAATAAAGATTGATGACCAATTGTTATTGGTAGCTGAGTTAGATTACGTGTTGGATACGTAATATTGATAGATGGATAATCATGTTTAAAATTTATCTTAATAGCCCATTGTCTGACAGGGTGGTGAAATAATCATAGAGCAAACCAAGGCTCTCAGGTATGTTATTTCAGTGAAAGTACCTACTATATTAGAAAGTTTTTAGCTAATGCTAACTTCACTGTAGGAAATTGTGAAGGTCTGTTAGTAGTATTAGTCCGGTGAAAGTAATTATTTATATTTTTTAACGATTTCCAAAAAGGAGGAGGTTCTCAATTCGTCGGAATCTTTTTTTTTGAACTGATTTTAAGTAAGAAGAGGTACCTACTCAATTCGTTTGTATGTTTTATTTATTACACTACTAATTGTGAATCGGTTTTAAAAATGCTAGTGACAAATGAATGAGATGAGAACATGATGTAAAAAAATGCGGATTTTTTAATGCATTGGATTCGAAAACCAAAAATTCTACTCGTAAGTCTGAATTCGGTGTATTTTTATTATAGGTAATAAAGGTACACCGAATCCTTTTCAAGTTGATAATTATATGTAGATTACGAGTGTAAGACTTAAATAAATAATATGCAACTAACATGATTGAACATTTTAAGAATTAAAGTGGGTTTTTTAAATAAAAGTTCTATATAACATAATAGATTTTCCTGATATGAGCTTAATATTGCTCTGTAGGGCATTTCCTATGATTCACAACATTACGGAACGACTACTCCGTGCCAAGTTTTATCTTTAGTGTTCATATTTTACAAGAAATACAGAAAATTACTAATATATACAAAAAATTGACAGTAATCTGAACCTTATTTCTAACGAGATAAGAAACAACTTATATATTGAATTTTAAATACATCTTTTAAATGTATATGTTGATAAACGTCAGACGCTTTCTTGGAAGCTTTGTCTACTGACGACATGCTATGGCAGTTTGTCGGTACTATTTTTTATTAATCTCTATATCAAATTGCTTTCTGTACTCGGAATTGGATAGAAATTGCGTTGTTTTCCGTCAAATTATTTCGTTAATAGTATACGAGTACGTGACTTATACAAAAAAATGATTAAAAAAGCTTATCATCATTCAAGGTTATACAGAAAAAAAGTAAGTGCTACTTATACAATTTAATTTGCTTGCGTATTTAGTTTTTATTTGAAATTGTAGGTGTCCATAACTACCAAATTATGATTAATTAAGAAT